TGCATCTTGCTATTTTGGCAATATCTGCTCTCCTGCTCAGATTTTTTTAGCATATTTAGCCTCTACTTTAGAAAAAAACCTACAGCTGCATGTCCCACCCTGATATGACAGCTCCAGGAATATTCTTGAGACTGCGCTTACGCATTTATTCATTTATTACCCTGCATAAACAGAGCATTCAGGCTACAAATTCTAAATCTAGATCAAAGCTTTCAGGGAGGTTCAAATGGAGAATTTTGGACTGGACTCATCCTAGATAAATCTGAAAACAAACTGGATATTCTGAATCTACCATCTGTAGCAAATATCAGTATAACACTGCCCCCAAAAATAAAACACTCATGTAAGCAAGCTTATTACTAATCACTGTAAAATTTATTTTAAAAGTCCTGCTTAAAGAGATTTATAGGCATCTTTCAGATGAAAATGTCCGGTTGAAAAGACAGCCTTAGATTAGATTTCCCTACTCAGACTGCAACAAAGCAAACAGTTGTGCAATTCCAAATTCCCATTCACTTTAAGAAGATGTGAAATAACCTAGCACTGTGAAGTGGCTGACAGTCCCTGGACTCCTAGGTTTGCCTCACTTTATAAGGGTGATGCCTACCCATAGACGAAACCATTCCTATTTAAACTTTTTGGAACGTTACTTGCGTGAAAACTACCAGCAATACAAGACAGACTTAAAACTCTAAGAAAGCACGTCAGTTTTAATTTACAACGCATTACTGGATTTTTAAATGAATATACTTTTAAGCACAGTTTTGGACAGGAATAACTTGACTGACTGAGGATCTTCATACCACTGCACTGATCCTATTTCTTCACGTTGGCAAGGCCTTATCATTGACCTTATTACATCCTTTTGCCAAAATAAACAACGTCAGGAAGAAAGGAGGCAGCAATCTGAAAAACGGCAAACATATTATTGTATATTTTTTCAGGCTGTGGCACTGTGTACATAATTTCTAAAGTCATTTTAGCTCATTGGCTTGTTTTTATTAACTCAGGTGAAAAGAATTTTCTGGCAGAAATATGATATTTTCAGAGTTTTGCCTTGAGTGAATACATCTTGCTATTGTTTTCTCACCTCTGTAAATCACCAATTTTGCCATACAACAGCAAGACAACACAGAAGATACCTACTCTAAATGAAGTAATAAATAAGTGTGGAAATTTTATTTGACCAGCTGAGATCAGTTGGTAATTAATCAGTGTTAACTTATGCAATTAGGCAACTCCGAACTGAAGGGCAGGTTCAGCCTTACTTGCACTGGTCCTCCCACGCCATTTAGGACCACACTTTCCAAGGCAGTTAGAGCGCTGCCTTGAATGAGTGCTGCTCATTTCTCCACCAAGGGCTCGTCTAGAGAAGAAAAGATGTTTAGTGGCAGAGGTAGCTTCATGCAAGTTCTGCCACCACCACGCCTACCCTGACACATCAGCCATGCTTTAGGCTTTTCAGTACCCAATATATTTTTCAATCTGCAGATCCTAGTGCACACTGGATGGCGTTTAGGTGGTTGTTTGTGTTTATGTCACTTCTATCTGCCCGTTACAGAACCAGAAAGCCACAACAATAGATCCGAAACTCAGTAGGGCATCGGTGCCTTCATGTTTGCTAATACTATTATGGGAAATACACAGGACTGTATTATCACAGCATCCTACTTCATGGGGAAATACTTTGCTTGCATAATGCCATAAGCTTTCAGGGCAAAACACGTAAATTCATCAGATTTCAGACTATCCCTTCCAAGCAAACTGCTTTCCTCTGGTGACACTGTTCAGTCACTTAAAATCACATGCACCGAATTTTGAGCTGAAGGTTCTTAAAAGGAAGGAGCAGCACAAGGGCGACACAATTCTTAGCTGAAAGATACCGTTGACTTGAGATTTTCCAGCTTGTTTGGGTATAGTTTAATTTACAGAATCACAGAATCACAGAATAGTAGGGGTGGGAAGGGACCTCTGTGGGTCATCTAGTCCAACCCCCCCGCCGAAGCAGGGTCACCTACAGCAGGCTGCACAGGACCTTGTCCAGGCGGGTCTTGAATATCTCCAGAGAAGGAGACTCCACAACCTCCCTGGGCAGCCTGTTCCAGTGCTCCGTCACCCTCAGAGAGAAGAAGTTCCTCCTCATGTTCAGACGGAACTTCCTGTGCCTCAGTTTGTGCCCATTACCCCTTGTCCTGTCACTGGGCACCACTGAAAAGAGCTTGGCCCCATCCTCCTGAAATTAATTGATACAGTGGTAAACTGAGTGCATTACTACTCAGAGACAACACATTTTTAATTGATCAGAAACAACTTGTACATTTCTTGTGAACTTGAAAACTCAAACCCAGAAACACCAATGTTATCAGCTTTTTAAAACACCAGCCTTACACTCTGCAGAGAGAAATAATATCCTCCATCAGCCCAACAGCAGTAATTTTTACATCTGCCCTTCCATTTGAGGAGAGCTTAACCTGGGGATCGAGGCCTCAAAATTTTAAGGGAAATGAAAGCCCTTCTTCCTTATGCTTCAGGTCCCCTTCTTATATGGATAAATGTCCATTTGTAATGGCACTAAAGCTAACACAAGCAAATATATGTATCTGTGTGCTGTATTTTTTTTCATACAGTGAGTTTCTTGCAATTAAATAAGGAGAGCTCACACAACTGAGTAAGCATGAGAACAATCTGCTGTTCTCCTCTTGAAAAAATATGTTAAACAGCATATTCTGGGTGAGAATAGCACAGAAGAATTTGGGGAATCAGATTCTTTTCTCAGCATATAACTTACCTGTGGAAGCTCCCCACTAGCACTAATGGGAACTCTGCATATTTAGCTCTGCTTCAAACCAAGAGGGTACATAAAATAGCAAGGTATCAAATTTCTTCTAGGATGAAAAATGCTAAAATATTTTTTTCCACCATTCCAGTACACATGTCTCTCGTTTTCCTCCCCTAGCCACTGCTTATATACCAGTCCTACTCCAGTCATTGGAAGTCATATTAGTGGCTTTTCCTCACACTCAGATTTGCACTTCCAAACACTGGTAACACCCGTCTTGATGCTCTTCAAATGCATCTCCCTAACAGTAGATCAAAGTAAATCCACAGCAGAAACAACTTCAATTAAAGCAACATGGAAGATCTATTTACTGCACCTTCCGATGAGTTGCCATCAGTGATTCGTATACTCAGACGAATAATTTAGTACATCACAACAAGTAATTTAGAACATCAGTCCCTCACATGATATCGTATGTAAAATGTAGAGTACCCAACAGTACCAGTTCAAAAGAAAGTCTGCAAGAAGATAACATTATTTTCTGCTTACAAAAAGGTCAGTGCATATTCCAAAGTCCAACACTGGGACTTTTTAAAATCCAAACTCTGAAGGTGCTTTTTCTTTTACAATGGGGCAGAGGCAACTTACTTGCAACCAGATTTTTTCATTTTGAATATTAGTGACTAAGTTAAAGTGGCACATTTGTACTGAATGAAATTTTATCATAAAATGTAGAATTACACTATTTGCCAAAAAATAAGTTATTATAAATAAGTTTGAGATTAAATTAATCAAAAATTAAAGTAAATTAAAATTAAAATAGTTAAAAATTAATAATTAAAATATTAAAAAGAAAAAAGGGACTTTCATGAATTATGTGTATGAAGAGAGTTTCACATATTCTAGCAAAATGTTATGAAACACATACTTCCTCTCCTTGAGAAAATGTTATTGCTGTCTGGTGCTAAAACATTGTGAGATTATATCCACATAGCCAAATAGCCGAGACTTCTGAAGCCATGTTTTCTTTGTTTTCTTTATACACGGAGAAGGTAATATACAGGTTTGAGGGAAGCTGTGAGTATTTTAGCTACTTAGTACTACAAATCATCCATTCTCCTACCTTGACCTCTAGGTGGCACAAAAGAACCTAAACAAAGCAGGCCTTTTCCGAGTTTTCAGTCAATGTTATGCCCTCCCCATCAGCCTCCCCAAGTTAGCAACTCCAACGTCACAAAATATACATCTATTAACCTGTATAAATAAAATGTCAAAACAAGTATTAAAGTACCAGCTACTGTAGCTAGGCAGCTCATTTGTTACTGCTTTTAATGGTGCATTGAGATATAAATCATTAATTGATTCTCCCCAGTACACCTAATATCCTTTCTTTCACCTTCTACTTAGAATACTTAAAAGGAACAGTAAGCTTACTAGGAACAAAGTTATGGTTTACATTTAGTTTCATGTAAGGATTACTACAACACTAAAAATACATACCATAAAACCAATTTGCAATCATAATCCAGCACAAAAAAAGAGTAGCAATGAGTAAAATGCATCCATTACTTCATCTTATTTTAGATTACGGTATAAAAGCACGTAAACAAATCAAAGGTTCAGTGAAATCACATCCAATCAATATTTACTGCAGAAGTAACTAGAAATGCTGCTTTTTGACTTAAGAGATGATATGATCACCGGCATGTTCTGCACGACCACAGGGAATTTTTGCATTAACAGTCTATACGCACAGCAGGTGAAGGGCCAGAGCAGCCCTCAGCATCTGCACACAATGACAGCACCACACATGCATTTTGCCCCAGTAAAGACACTACAAGCTTAGACCTCAGAACATTTCTTTTCCTCTGCCGAAAACATGCATGTGTGCACTGCCTTTGCCTCAATGCTGCCACTGGTTTCCTTTAACTCCTATCTCAGTCAAACCATTCTCACTCACATCTGAGGATCACTCTGAACAAAACAAAACTCACCTTCCCCTCCTAACCTGCCCTAGCTCTCTGAGCACGACTGCCCTGACGGGACTTCTCTCTGTCATCCAAAACCACTCAGTCTGAAACGCTTTGACTCTTTCAAGACTGAACATGAAGCCACACATAAAATTTGTCAAAGCATTATGTGGAAGACCGTTTGTATCAACATGTGACAACAAATCATCACATCATATGCCCACAATTAAACAGGAAAGGAATTCTCTCACCTGGCATAGAAATCTTTTGGTGGAACAACCTCCTGAAAGAACTGTAGCTGGTACAGGTAAAGTCCAATTAAGTGTCCCGCACTGAATATAGCCATTAACACACAGAGACAGCTGAATATCAGCGGATCAAATGCTTGGCAACAGGACCACCATGTGCACAGGCCCAGAAATACAAAGAAATACACAGCTGATGTCAAAGATGGCACCATCATACCTGTGAAAATAAAAAAATGGGGGTCAGAAAGGTATAGGAGCATCAGCATTTCTTAAACCTGAAGTCTGACAAGAAATGTGTTAGACAATTTAATCCAATTAGTGTTTATGCTAATTATTCCAATTAGCTCTTAAGACTGATATTAGCTTTGAGACTAGAAGAAAAGGATTCTCTTTTTTTTTTTTTGTTTAATTCACTTATGGCATACCTTAGCACTTAGTACACAACCACTGTCCAGACCTTCCTCCAAGATGAAATCTTCTCTTTGTAAAGATGTTTCACAAAGCATGGAGAAAACCAGCAACGTGGCTGCAAGGCCAGCCAACAGAGACACTGTGCCTGAGAGTGCCAATGTGTTAGATTTTAAACTGAAATTTAAGTAAAAGATGCTAAAATCGCATGATGGGTGAACAGTGAAAAGCCTTCTCATATAAATTTGAGGTATATTGAGTTATTAAAAATTAAAAAAACCATGATGTATATACTGAAAATAAAAGGTGTCTGGAGGTAAATGTTTGATTTTTCTGAATTTTTAACTCAGACACTTGTAATTTACATATGAAAAAGACTCTGCTGTCTTACATACATGTATTAGTTTTACCCTCACACATGTAGCAGAGTATTTCACTTGTAGTGAAGGAGACCCAGTGCTCTGTGGCTAGCCTACAAAAATAAGTGAGGAAGCAAGGAAGACATACATGTCTAACAGTGGAGACCAGGAGAAAATGATACAAGAGAGCTTACATCCAGCGTAGCCGTCCAGTGGAGTCTCTAAAGTAATGGTACTGAAGCTAATAGCGATGTTGCTTCAATTTCTTTTCAAGTTTTTCACCAGAGCATGTCCTCTGAGACAGATCTGCAGGCTCTTGGTGGCCCGTGACCCCGGTACGCCCACGGGCCCTGCAGCTGGGCCGGCCACGCGGCAGGAGGACTTGCGCCTTGCCAAGCGCCGGCTCACCCTGTGCATTTCTACCCGCAGCCTCCGCAGAGCAGAGTCCATGCAAGAGGGAAGGAGCGAGGGAGGGTCTTGGGACATAGCGGGCTTCGCGCTGGATGTTATTGGCAGAAATTGTCAAAAGATGTGGTGGTCACAACCATGTAATGGTGGACAAAATATGTGTGCTGTAAGGACTCTCATCCATGGTCATTTTGTCTGAGCTTCATCATTGCATCCTTTCACATTGTACTTTAGACCAAGTCTTCAGACTAGGGTGCTTTGCCTCTGCTCCAGCGAGTAACCTGCTGGTGTTTTCATAGGCTCAGAGATATAAAAGCATGACAGGACCACAGCAATCATCTATTCCAACTGCCTGCGTGATGGAGGCTGTAAAACTTCACCCAGCAATTTCTGCCTCAAGGTTGTAACTATTTCCTTTCTTCTTTCAAAGAGATACTTTGTCTTCATTTAAGCCCTTTAGGAGAACACACTATATCCATAAAAAAAGTTGTTTATCATGGCCAATTACTCTGCCTGTGAAAAATTCAACATTTATTTCTGATCTGAAATTGCCTAGTTTTACCACTTAACTATTGGCTCATATTATAACTTCTACTAAATGAGATGTCTGTTAAAAAAATGTAGGCACTTTGTACCTTTGTCAGTACTTTAAGGCTGCAGTCAATTCACCATCTTTTTTTTTCTTGGCATGGTAAGTAAGGAAGTATTTAACTAATTAAGCTCAAGGTTTCTCTCTGGAATACAGGCTTCCCAGACCTCGAGTCCTTTTTCAAGTCTCCTCCAAACACCTTCCAGCTCTCAGCATGTGTTGGAGTCCAGCAGACAAGCTGCCCAACGCCACTCAGAAGAAACTGACCCTGCCGCTGCTGTGTGATCCTTTCACTTCATCCTCCCTAGGTGATCTTCACCCATGCAACTTCAGAATGGCACTGAAACCACGGTTATTTGTCCATACTTACCACACTTTTTTTTTTAATGGCACCTCTCTCCACTAATGTCAGGCACCATGGTGATCCACATAACCTATTTTTTTTCCCTTTTTTAGATGTATTACTTTGCGTTTGGCCACATGTAAGGCTGCCAGATAATCTTACCTTAGTGAAAGAGCCTGTCTTACTGAAAAAGCCACAGCTGACCAGTCCTCGTCATTCAATACCAACTATTTTTTGTACTATCGTTTTATACTTCATATACTACTATATTTATGTTAAGTATGTACTTGGCGTTTATACATAAGAATTCAAACGTGAGTAGGTAGACAACGCTGATTTACAATTGTATGATGCAATTTTAAATTCATTCATTACAACCTACTGTGATTTTGTGCACTTCCATTATGTCTGTAGCTGATTATGTGGTACTAAATCAAATGTCTTAAAAAAGTTGGTCATATCATACCAAAACAGCTACTTTACTAACCAACATAAAAGTCACATCAAAAACCAACATGAAGTCTGCTTATCACTCTTATTAGACACGGTATAGTCGACCTATTAATCTTTTCATTTTCTTTTTGTTTTTTAAAGGCTATGTGAATACACCTCCTTTTTACACTTGCAAGTGACAGAACCAAGTCTACGAATTCACATTATAGTCACTTATAATATGCCACCATTCAACATTTGGTTATAACAGGAGCTGTAAAAATCATACACAGAATGAAGGGGCCACACAGTACTAGTACAAAAAAATTAAGCAACTCAGTATATTCCAACGCCTGCCAAAAAGTTAATTTAAATAAAATCACCAGCAATTTCTTTTCCCTTAAAAATTTCCATTGTTATTCCCGCAGGTGCCAAAGCGCTGAAAACTCATTTGCTAAATGCATAATCCTATG